AGAAACCTGGAAGTAAAATTCTGTTATTAATTCTCTTGGGTTCCCACGGTGACAAAATAAAAAGGTTTCTTTCCTCCCTCCCCTCCCCCTCCCCCCCTCCCGATAAAAATTTTTGCGTTCCTTTTCTAAATAGAAAGATCTTGTTTTTACGCTATCATGAATTTTTTTTCTTTCTCAGAAAAGCTTTTTAGCTTACCTTCTATGTTGTATGGATTTTTTTCTCAATAGGAATAGAAGGTCTCCCTTTTGAAATCAATAGCAAATTTGAAATTCTTTGGAAGAAATCGGGGGTAAGTTGCTTCTTAATAACTATAATCATGTGAAATGCTTTAATTATATCAATATATAGACAAATATTGTATCAAAACAAAATTGTCATTTTATAAAGTAGACACAACTATTGGCTGGGTCCTTGTAACACTGTGTTTTGGGTCCCTTCAACTCTCATAGAGGACTTCAGAAACAAAGCTTACTGTTTTTATCAGAACCAGTAATAATAATGATGATGATGATGATGATGATGGTAATTTATTTTACTTCAATAATGTGGGGAGTGTTTGCCCAATTTTCCTGAGGCAGGGGCTCATATATGAAGCAGTCGAAGGTGCGTTTTTAACCCCTCAGATTATCATTGCTCCTCAATACAGGTATTTCAAAAACTCTTGAATAATAAATGAGCATTTGAACCAATTGGAGCGACCATACACGTCACGTGCATGGACCTTTAAACCCCCTAAAGTCATTTTCATTAGTATTCTTTATATGAAGAATACTAATATGGACAACCTTATCAGAATAAAGGCGCATCCAAGTTTAGATGAAGACTTAGAGCCTCATCAAGGTCAGTCTCACATACGATCATCGACGGCCCATAAATTATAGTCGTCTATAGTGCCCCTGTCTTGAGTTCGGCATGTTGTATTCAACTTGTGGGAGCCTTTTTTACACTTACTGTGCATGGCAGTCACTGCGCATGACATTGCTGTACAAACGACTATCAAAGTATAAAAGTCAATGTTCGCGAGGTATATGGTCGCTCTACTTCAACCAAAGGTTTGTGAATTATACTTAAAGTTTTTGAAGCCGTTTAATAAACTCGCAGATCGTGTTTTATCGTGTCTAAAACCCAATAAAACACTCCTTCTCGTTTATTAAACAGTACTTAAAGCTAAAGCTACACAGAACAGAGAGAAGTCGAAAGGCTTTATCCAGGGAAACCTATAGATTATCATCATCATCATACACCTATTATCAATTGATTGATTAATTAATTAACATTAATTTTGCAGTAAAATATTGCTGGAATACCAAAAATTATCATCAGAGGATATCAAATCTAAAGTAAGTGAATTTATTTTTATTTTATTTTATTTACAAAGCTTTACCTCAAAATAAAGATGTAATAAACTACAAAATAATATACGAAAAAAACAAATAAAGATACACGAATGAGGTAGGGATTATACAACAGAGCATAGCTCCAATCTAAGTACACCCTTAACTAAAATGATTACTAATTAACAATAAATTCTAACTGATAAGATACATTGAATTATATAAGCTATGTACAATTTTAAAAATGCTAGTTATCAAGGACTCGATATTTAGTAGCAGCAGCGTTTGTTATTTAGAAGATTATGAGCAGAG